TTGGCTCTGCTCCCTCCAGGTGGCTTGTCTTAGGGCTTCTTTTTTATTATCTGAAGACTGTCTCCTTTCTGACACTTCACCAAAGAACAGGCAGCCCCTGCAACTTGGGGTTTTCAGAGATGAGCATCTTAAATATGACCCACTTTCAACTTTCAGAACTAAATTTTCTTTTGGGCCAGGTTATGTTTGCTTCAAGAATGGAATTATCTGTCATCCGAATTTCTATTTTGTGTACTTTTTTGTTTGTTTTACCATGTCCTTTCAGGCTCACGTGATGTGAGTCGGTTTTTAAAAAATATTTTAATTTTGAAACTTCCCTGGGATTTAAACTCATAACAGTATGTTAACACGCATGCCATCCAAGTAGAATGATTTCAGAAATCCAGATGGTTTCTGTCCATGTTTGTGGATCACAGCTGAGACTTGAAAGAATTGAAATAAAAGAAGTGCCTTATTTGCTTCCTTCCAAACAGTTTTTCTCACGTGACTACCATTCGTCCTCCCTAGAATCTGAGATAAGCTATACTGTTAATGGTGTCTCTCAGCTGAGGGCATCAAATGACAAAATGTTTGGCTGGCCTCTCATTTCCTGGAAGAAGCGATTGATTCTTCGTATCCCCCTCTGAGTTTGGAGCTGTTGGTAAATACTGAGCCGGCCATGGTGGCCATCTTACTGCAAGGTGTGAGATGTAACTGATGGATCGCCAGGAGAGATGGATATTCTGGAGAAATGATGAATAGTAAACATGAATTAGCACCATCTGGGTTGAAATTTTCCGCTACAGATGAACATTTATTAAAAAAAAATTAATGATCATTGACGGTTTTTCCCTCTTATGCCTCAATGACTTACTTTTAGAACAGCTTACTGAATTGCCTTTTAGTTTTGGTCTCAACCACTTAACTAACTTTTTTTTGAGACAAAGTCTCACTCTGTCACTAGGCTGGAGTACAGTGGTGGTGTGGTCTCGGCTCACTGCAGCCTCTGACGCCCTGGTTCAAGCAGTTGTACCTCGGCCTCCCAAGTAGCTGAGATTACAGGCACGCGCCACCATACCCAGCTAATTTTTGTATTTTTAGTAGAGACGGGGTTTCACCATGTTGGCCTGTTGATCTTCTGACCTCAGGTGATCCGCCCACCTCGGCCTCCCAAAGTGGTGGGATTACAGGTATGAGCCACAGTGCCCGGTCCACTTAACTAACTTTAAAAAAATGTATAGGAGCAACTTTCAGGCTGTTTCTTTGATCTCAGGTGAGGTTGTTCTTGCCTCGTTTTTCATTAGTGGGACCTCTGTGCAGCTAATAGTAGCTGTGAGATGGAGCGAATGATCTGCCTTGAAAGTGAATTGACTCAAAGGGTAAAGAGTTACATGACCCTGGTAGAAGAGAGCCTATGTCTGCTGAAACATTGAAATTAGACTTTAAAATTTATGAACAGCTCTGTGGAAATTAGTCTTTATGTTAACAGGTTCAAGCCAGTATCAAAACCTCCGCTAAAGTTAGCTCTTGCTAGCTGGTAAAGCCTCCTGACTGGTCTGGAAATGTCTCCAATTAGACGAAATGTCATATTTCAGCAAGTTGTGTTTGGCATTTGTCACCTGATGTTGGTATTGGTTTGCTCATTGAACACATGTTCTGAGAGCTTATTTGCCAAGCATTCATTCTTTCCATGGATATTTCTTGAGTGCCTGCAGTTCCCTGTACACTGGGCCAGGGGTAGGGAGACATCTGTGACCAGGCAGACACGGTCCTTGACCTCACAGAGTAACAGTTGACAAAGTGTTCTAAAAGCTGTTGCAGGAATGACAGCCAGCTCTAGGGGGTGCAGGGCAGGAAAGCCAAGATGAGTATCAAGCTGCGAATGCTCACGGCTGTTCTTCTGCCCCCGCAGCATGGACAAGGACAGCCCCGAGGTCCACCAGGACCTGAACGCCCTCAAAACCAAGTTCCAGGAGATGCGCAAGCTCATCAGCACCATGCCCGGCATCCACCTGAGCCCCGAGCAGCAGCAGCAGCAGTTGCACAGCCTCCGAGAGCAAGTCAGGACCAAGAACGAGCTTCTGCAAAAGTACAAGAGCCTCTGCATGTTCGAAATCCCCAAGGAGTAGAGCGAGGCCGACTTCCGGGAGCACCTGAGAAAGAGGGGGGAAGGAAATGGCCTGTCACCCCACGGCCACCAGCCCCCCGTCCGAACGCTTGTTGGGGCACAGTTCCTGTGGACCCCAGCTCAGAACTTCAAGCTGCAGGGGCGGGGTTCCTGTGCTGTGCGAGTCGCCTGTGCGGGAGCCAGCGCCGAGCTTGGCTGCGCTGGGGCTTCCTTGTGTAGATCCATATGTCTAGATGCATAATAACTGGAGTGCCTGCTGGTGGAAGTCAGAATGCTCCTGGAGGCTGCCGAGAGGGTGGAGGACTCTCCCCTGCCTCTGGGGAGGGGGCCATCTGCTGCGCGTCCAGCCCCACTGGCAGATCTGAAGAACACAGTAGGAAGGGAGGCGGCTCCTCTCTGCTTCCTTCCCTCCCCCTCCTCCCACCCCCATAGGATCAGTGTGTACCAGGTACATACTGTTCCTGTTAGCAGCAGCTTCTTGAAACATTTGCATAGAATCCACTGGACAAATTAAGCCTGCACTCGTATGGCATAGAGCTGTGAGAGAATGTTTTGAAAGGCCAGAGGGTGGCTTTTTTCCCGGTTTGGTTCCTTTTCTGTTGGAGCCGTGAAGGAACTATAGCTGTGGGGGTGTCGGCCCACAGCCCTGCCAGGCAGCCCTGGCTGCAGCTTTCCTGCTTCCCAGCACTCTCCTCTCCTTCCCCGCTTGCCCTCTTCCTCGCTCGGCACCTTCAGTCAGTGCCCAGGAGTGGCCAGCCCACTTCCCATCTGCGCTGCTTCCCCAGGGCCGGCAAGGGGCTGTCCTTGCCACCCAGGCTGGAAGAGGTCTTCAGGCGAACAGACCTCCCCTCTTCTGCCATTTCAGATTCCCATTGCCCTGGTGAAAAGGTCCTTCCCTTCTGGCCTTCTCACTTGTGGCAGCGATGTGTACTGTGCTGCAGAGGGGTTCACGAGGCACCTTGTGTTCAGAGAGGGGCAGCTCGGGTGGTCCCCAGCCACAAGCTAGGCCTGACAGTGACACAGCCAGGTTTGAGCTCTTAAAGGTTTATAGCAGCCGTCATTTCGCCAGCGTCCCTGATTTCTTCCGGATGGGACGTTTTCTTTGTGTGCTCTCCCTTGACCTTTGAATTGAGGTAAGAGCAGTTCTTACCCTTGCCTCTCCCAAGAGGAGGTGCGAAGTCCTGGAGTGTTGTTTGGGTCTAAGAATGGGCACGTAACCTGCGCTGACCACTTTGGGGGCTTAGCAGTTGCCCGCCAACTGACCTCGTTGGCAGGAGGACTGGGTGGAGATGTTTTTAGCAGAGCTGCCATTAATGTCCAACTGCAGCCACCTGTCAGAAGGTGGGTGGCATATTGGGGACCCAGGGGCGTGTGAAGGAGGAGACCAGATTTCAGTGGCTTTGCACAGAAAAGTACACTCTGGATTCTTTAACAGTGGGTGGTCACCTGTTAGACCAGTTCTACCTTGGGACTGTTATTTAACTGAATCAGTTATTTCCTTGAAATTTCACAGTAGTGGGTGGGCCAGTTTTAAGGCTCTGACAGATGCCATGAAGCGTGAAGCACATGGAAATCCAAGACCCTCGGGTCTGTCTGAATGCAAAGCTGAAATGAACAAGGGCTCCTCACGGGGGTGGAGGGAGCCGGAGGGAGCCGGAGCCTACCTTGTGTTCCTGTTTTGACTTGTGACATTTTTCAAACACATAATTAAAAGGACTTATGCTCTGCTGTCTCAGGACATCATGCTTTCTGTACTGAGAAATTCATAGTGGGATGCTCTCAGATTGTTGAAAGGAAAATGTTTCTCTCACTCTGTTCAGATATAGAACCAGCCCTCTGTTCCTCACCTCCCTCCACACTCACCTGCTGAACCAGTATGGAACAGGAACTCCTCTCCCGGCTGGCCTCAAGGGCAGTTTGCCTGGCGGGTCATCCCTGCCCCTGCCTGGCACGGGCCCCTGGGCGTCCGTGGTTGCCTTTGGTGGGGTGGCGGGGTGGGGGTGGGGGTGCAGTGCCTTTTGGTGACTGGAGGAGGTTCAGTCCTGACGGGAACTGCCCTCCCTGAACAGGGTTGAGATCCTTCTAGGACAATTCTGAGTGTCCCTCACAGGGTTGAGCACCCTCTCAAAGCCACTAGTTATTTGCATTACTGGGTGGCATGCATTTGTGCTACTTTTCAGACATCACACTTAATCCCCACAGCAAGCCCATGCGGAGGGTGCTTTGCCCCAGGTTTGCAGTACTAGTGACAGAGAGAGGTGTTCCTGGGTGCCTTAGCCATGAGAGGGAGACAGCAAGGCTGAGGGGTGCATGGGGTTCCACTCCTGGCCTTGAGCACTGCCTGGAGCTAGAGGGGAGCGGACGCCCAGGGGTTAGCTGTTTCCTGATAGGGTGGCACCCTGGAGGGAGTGGGTGGGAGTGGGCACCGGGATGGACCTGCTTCCAGATGGGTCTCAGGCTCTTTCCTCAGGGCCTGAATGATACCTCCAACAGTCTGAGAGTTCTCCTGGGCCCATACTGAGTCTGGTGACAAAATGGCTAGGCACAGTTCCAGTGGCCCTGGCGCTGAAGGAGAATTCAGAACGTTCTCTCAGAAAATGAGGCCTTTTGTCATCAAACCCAAAGAAAAGCGGGTAGATGGCTAGAAAGAGTTCATCTCCAGGAGGGACCCTGAAATCCTTCACATTAGTCCTGGTTTTGTAGGGAACCATCCCCTGCATAGATGCCCCAGGCACCTAGGGCTTTTCTGGGGCCAAAGCTGCTTTCAGAAGGGCGGGGTATTTTCCAGTTCTGAGGAAGGGTAAGTTCTAGTTCCACGGAAGTCAAAGCCCAGCACCTTCCCTCTCCCTACCCTTTCCGCCTCCAGCTATCTCTAAAAGCAAACAAAAACCGGTTTTCCATTTTAAATTATTTTATTGTATATTAAAAAACCAACAGTAATAAAGACCTCACACACACACACACACACACACACACACACACACAGTATAAACACCAGGGTAAGGTTTTGTTGGTGTCCATGTTGACACCGGAACTACTGTTAAAGTGCAAGTTTGGTTTCGTGTTCCTTTGTGCAGTTTCACTCACATGTAAACAAGTCACTTGGCTATGATTTGACCCAGCCCCCCTTAGTTTCGGGAGGGCAGAGGCTCTGCCAGCTGTCATGGCAACTCGGAATCACAGACAAGATAATGCCCCGTGGGTCCTGACCCTCAAGCCGGGCAGGACGATTTCTTGAAGCCTAACAGGCTGGATAACTTCACATCATCCCCACCCCGTGCTCACTCTTAGGTCTTTGAGAAGACAAAGCCACTCTCGGCTGGGCCCTTGCCCCCCACCCCGCCAAGTTGTGGGGATGGGATGGTGTCGGGGTGGGAGTAGTCTCAGTCTTGGCCAGTTCTCTTTCCTTCCAGAGCAGATGACCGTCCCTTCTTGGTTCAGTGGCGCCTCCCTAGCGCTGGGGGCGGATCGCGGGGAGGGAAGACGCTAGTCCAGTCCGCGCGCTCGCGGCCCGGGGCGCACGGGGCGTGCCAGGCCGTTGGATTTGACTTTTAAACAAAAAGGTCCTCCTTAGGTTGTGTGGCCGCCGGCGCGGTGGGGCTCCTAGCTGATGACGCAGCGCTCCTTGTCCTTCGCCTGGCTGCCGGCGCAGGCCTTCTCGCGGATGTACATGAGGTCGCTGTGCACGCTGGGCCGGCGCGCGAAGGGTGCCACGATGCCGAAGGCGTCCCCCGGGTCGCCGCCGCCGCTGCCGGCCCGCAGCAGCCTCTTATTCCGCAGCGCTTTCTTGTGCAGCACGTCGCAGTACTGCACGGAGACCTTGCGGTGCAGGTCCGGACTCATCTCGCTTGGCAGCTTGGCCATGGCGAAGAGCGCGCGGAACATCTGGTCCAGGCTGCTGTTCTTCTTGGCTGAGATCTCGAAGTAGGCGCAGCGCTGGGGGTCGTTGCCCACCAGCTGCTCGATCTCGCGCTGCTCCACCTCGCGGTAGAAGTCCCGGTCACCCTTGTTGCCGCAGATGACCAGGGGCACGTCCACGTTCTCCTTGGTTTTGTTCTTGAGACAAGCCTTGGTGTCGAGGATCTGCTGTCTGAGCCGCTGAACCTCCTCGAAGGAGTCGCGGTTGTCCAGGCTGAACACCAAAATGAAAACGTCTCCTAGTGGGGGCACAGAGAGCAGAAAAAGAGAAGGTGAGGGTGGCCGTCCAGGGGACAAACTGGGCTGACTTCAGGGCCGCGCGGGGCGCGTTGGCCTCTCCAAGCGCGAAGCGCACGACTCGGCGCGCGGCAGCGGGACCGGCGCTCGCGGACTGTCCCGGCCGAGGGTTCCCCGCCCTTCCCTCCCGCGCCTGCCCGGCCCCCGGCTCACCTGTGAGGATGGAGAGGCGCCGCATGGCGGGGAACGGGTGGTTGCCGGACGTGTCGAGGATATCGAGCTGGTAGACCTCGCCGCGGATGGAGTAGAACTTGCGGTGGAAGTCCTCGATGGTGGGCGTGTAGGCGTCCTCGAAGCGGCCGGTGAGGAAGCGCGAGACGATGGCCGTCTTGCCCACCTTGGACGAGCCCAGGATAACCATGCGATAGCAGTTCTTGGCAGGGATACTCAGCTCCGAGTCGCTGGGGCACATCTTCTTGATCATCGCGGCCAGTTTCATTGGGCACAGGGGCCGCGAGGGCGGGAGCGGAGCCGAGCGAAGGGCGGAGAGCGGCCGGAGGCGCTGGGGAGGCGCGCGGGTGAGCGGCCGGAGGGCTGTGCTCGGGCTGGGCGCGGCTCGGGCTTGGGGCTCCGGCTTCGCTCGGGCTGGGCTTGGGCTTGTGCTCGGCTCGGCTCGGCAGTCTCCCGGGCTCTGGATACAGGCAGCTCGCTCTGGCTCTTGTGACCGGCCGCCGCCCTTATATGCAGCCTGCGTGGTCGCCCCGCCCCGGCCCTCCCAGCTCGGTGCGTCACGCCCCGCGGGACCCGCCTCCCCCGCACCAGCTCCCGGCCCCGGCGACCTCGCCGACCGCTGCCCTGCTCCTGCTCTCTGGGCCGGGGGGGCTGGGGGAAACTGAGTCCAGGGTCGGGCTGAGGCTGGAGGCGCTTGGACTCTGCGCTCTTCCACCGCCGCGGGCTCGGCGGCCGCAGGGGTGTTGGGGTTCTGGTCTCGGCGGTGCCCCTGACCCTCTGCGACTTCTGGCAAGGACCCCCCTTCCAGCTCCTCCCGCACGCGTACACTCACTTTCTTTGGTTCTCAGTTTCCCTAGAGAGATCTAGTAAGTAACCCAGTAAGCACAGCAGCGTTTGCTGGGGGCTTGCGCGGACCGTATATTGAAGTCCCCAGAGCACAGCCCCAGCCCGCTCCCGCTCGGGTCCCCAGCCCGGCGCTTGTTCCCGAGAGGTGGAAGCCGGGCTGACAACGGGTTTCTGGAGCTGGGCACCGCGCGCTCAGGCCGCCAGAGGGCAGCAGAGGGCCCGGGCCGGTGGCGCGGGGAGGCTGCGGGCGCCGCGCGCAGTGCTGGAACAGGGGCGAGGAGCGGGGCGGGTGCGGAGCGGGAGGGATGGGGCAGGGGCCTCGGAGCGCCAGGCTGGGGCCCAGCAAGAGCGGTCCCCAACCCCGCGCTCTGCTGCAGGCCTCACCTTCCTCCTTTCTTCCAGCCAGAGATGCTCTGTGGCATGGAGGGCTCTGCAGCCAGCGGCCCACCCGAGGGGCCAGGGCTCCCCCTCCACCGTAGCGTTTTGGATCTTTACTCTGCGGCACATGGGTCGACCTCACTGTCTAGCTGAGAGAACCAGAGCTCAAAGCCACAGTGAGCCCTGGGAGCACAGCACAGCCTCTTGCCTTCTCCTGGGCCTCAGCTTTCCCTTCTGGAAGATGGTGATTCTGGTTCCGTGATTATGGATGAAAACATGCAAATAGTCCAGGGCGGGGCGTGGTAATCGCGATAATAACAGTAGTGTTGATCCATGGGGCTTGGTGGGGGTACACTCAAGCGCACGCGAGGTTGATCGGTAACAGGAGTCCCGGGTGATGTTGCTGAACGTTGGCAATAAGCTAACTGCAGCCTGCTCCTCAGCCCGGAGCGCTTGAGGAAGCCACTGCTCCCAGCCACTACAGGCAAGGCTGTGCGCTCAGTGTTTTGCTTTGGCCACGTCTGATTTAGGAGAAACCTAGCGGGCCGTTACCCAGCTCCACCAGTCCACCAGTCAGGTGATGGTGCTCCGTGGGCAGTGTGGTGGCTGCCACCCTCCCACCCCATGCCTGCCCCCTCCCACCCCATGCCTGCCCCCTCCCCTTCTGCACTGGTGCTTGCTGCAGGACACTTCTACTTGTTTCTCAGCCCAGCTAGGCCCCCATCCTCAGAGTCCCTGCGTCTCTCCCAGGCCTGACTCTTACTGTCAGATATTTCAAATGCACGCATCACACAGTGGGCATCCGAGGGCTCATCAGCTGGATCTAAGAAATGTCAGTGGCCCCGGGTCTGGCTCTGACTCCTGGTGTCACTTACGCCAGTTGTCTGACAGGCCCCTGGGACTGGGGCCTCGCCATTCTTGCTTCCTGTCCCCACAGAGGCTCCCCTCTCTCCCCATCTGAGGTATGTCTGCGGGAGACAGGGAGAAGGAAGCCCTGGCCCTGGATAGCGGGCTGCAGCATGCAGTGGTCCTGGGTGTTTACTGCAGAAAGGAGCCAGTTGAGGGCGCATGCGGGGCTCAGTCAAGGTATGGGCCTGAACCACCTCCAGACTGAGCACTGCCTTCCTGTGCCACCCACAACGGCACTGCATGGGCAGCCGGGCTGTAACCTGGGGTGACTGGTGGCCAAGGGGGACCCCACACAGCCATTGCCTCCTGGGACTCTAGTTCCAAGAGAGTCCATTTGATATGAGTGGAGGGCCTGAGGGTGAGGGTCACAGCCCAGCTCTCCCCAGGTCAGTGTCCAGGCTGGCCCCTTAAACTGGCAGGCACTGGCCCAGCCTGAGTCTTCAGCCACAGTGATTCCTGGTACCATCTGTGCACAGCCGTCTGCCCTTCGATGCTGGGTTCCCATTCTGAATGCCCCAGAGCGCCTCCTGTCACGGAGGTGGCCTCTGGTACCTCACTGTCACAAGCAGCAAGGCCCCTTGTCCCTCCCCTCCTCTTTTCTTTTAAAAGGGGGTCTCTTTCCTTTTATTACAAAAGTAATAAATGTTCATGGTTTTTTAAAAAAATCCAAACCATTTCAGAAAGGACCAGAATGAAACACACGCTGGGATCAGGCCCTCTCTCGGCCACACCCAGGACAGCCTAGCCACCAGTCCTGTGGGGTGGCATCTCCCGACGTCCCCATGTGGCCAGACTCCCAACTGCACGAGGGAAGCTTTATCCCCAAGCAGCCTCTGCCACCTAGCTCTTTGTTAATGCAGGTGTCCTTTTTCCTTCTTCTGGGATTTGCCTGTGTGACACTATGCCCTGCCCTAGACTAGCTCATTAGAGAGGCTGGGGAGGGCCAGCAGCTGGAAGACAAGCAGGGACAACTCGAAACCTGCAGAACCATCTGCCCCCTGGACCCTGAAGGCCCACACAGAGGAAGCATCTACAGCTGGGCTTCCCAGCACTCCCGTCCCCCGGGCCCTGCCAGCCATCCCGGCACTGGATGTCCAGGCTCCTCATGTTCCCACAGTGTCTCCAGCAAATAACTCTGTTTTCTGTGTGTTTGGGGTTTAGGAGGCTGTGAGCCTGTCTGTAAATAGTATTTACCTGCCACACAGAGATTTTCCTGCTCAGAGGGAAGGGGAACTGTTTAAAATTTTGACCAAATGCCAGGCATAGTCTGAGGGTGAGCCGCTGGACCCCACCACTCCCCAGGCAGGAAACGCCAGCCACACAGCCTCATCTGAGGGCAAAGAGCGATTAGGAAGTTCTTGAGGGCTGGCCAGAGGAGATCGCTGGGCAGCCCATCAGGGCTTTGCCTGTGGTGGTGTCCCGAGACAGAGTGTACTCAAGGGCCAGAAGTGGGCACTTCAGGTGACAGGAACTGCCGTGCTGGCCTGTGTGGCCAGAGCCGATCACCAGCACCTTGCACAGAGGAGGCCCTGGGGCCAGCTCCGTCCTGTGTGACCCTGGTGCACTCCACCTCCGGAAGAGGAGGAAAGGGGCAAATAGAGCTGGCTTTGGGTTCCCTCTGACAGGCTCCCCTCACCAGGCTGAGATCATTAACTCTGATGAGCTCTGTTTTGGGCAGAGCAGACCCTTCCAGCAGAAGCCGGCTCAGCCCGAGGCTCCTGGCCCTGCCCCAGGATCCAAGATTCAGGGTGCACGGAGCTTTGCTGCCCGCCTCAGGCGGTCCTCGAAGGCTGTGTGCAGAGGCGCTGGCGGAGGGGGTGAGTGCCTGTATAAGCAGAGGCAGGGCCGGTCGGACCAGTTGCCTCTCGTGCCCCTCCAGCCCTGAGACAGATTCTGGATTCTAGAAGCCAAAGAGAAAACCTCGAGGAGCTCCGTGGGCGATGAGGGAGGCACTGCCTGAGCACCTGCTGTATACACAAAGCAGGCATGACTGTGACACCATTTGACAAAGGAGAGGCATGCAGGGTCGGCAAGTGCTGTGTCCGTCTGGCCCGGCCCCACCCCCTGCCCTTCCTCCCCAACTGTGGGCTCAAGTATTGCGAGTGGAATTTGAAGAAGTGAATCCCGCACTGCCCTCAACTCTGGTACAGCACATTCCCACGGCCTGGCACATGCCAGCCTTCAGGGGTCCCTCAGAGGCCGAAAGAAGGTGAAACGCCAGGCTGTTTCACGCCTATAACCCCAGCACTTTGGGAAGCCAAGGCTGGCAGAGGACCTGAGGTCAGGAGTTCAAGACCAGCCTGGCCAACATGGTACAACCCCATCTCTACTAAAAATACAAAAAATTAGCCAGGTGTGGTGGCAGGTACCTATAATCCCCGCCACTCAGGAGCCAGAGGCAGGAGAATCACTTGAACCCGGGAGGTGGAGGTTCCAGTGAGCCGAGATTATACCATTGCTCTCCACCCTGGGCAATGAGAGTAAAACTCTGTCTCAAAAACAAATAAAAATAAAAATAAAAACTTATCATCAAGGCGGGCATGGAAGAGGAAGCGGGTGCTGTGAAAAACAGGCTAGAAGTTCCGTAGCGTGGGTCCGACACGTGAGCTACCATGTGACCTAGCAATTCCACACCTAGCTATTTGCCCGAAAGCAATGACAATGTGTCTACACAGAAACTGTCCACAAGTGTTTACAGCAGCATTCTTCGCAACAGCCTGAAGGTGGGAACAACCCGTGCCCACTGCCTGATGGATAAACGGAGTGTGTCCATCCACACAGCGGACTATCGTGCAGCCGTAAAAACGAAGAGTGCGAGGCATGGCACTACGCGGCTGGACCTCAGAAACACAGTGCCGAGTGAGAGAAGCCGGGCACCGAAGGACAGAGGCCTTGACTGCATTTATATGCGGCATCCCGGAGAGAGTGGCGTGGTGGCGGTGACTGCTGGAGAGGAGGTGTGGGGTGACAGCTCGGGGTACAGGGGTCTCTCTGGGGAGTGAAGACACTGTTCTAAGGATTGTGGCGATGCCCTGCACAACTCTGTGGGGAAACAAAAACCCACCGAGTTGTACACTTTGAATGGGGGAACTGTGTGTATGGCTGTGAATTATAGTTCAATAAAGATGTTAAAATTATAATTGAGATGAAACCATGAAACTGACCGGGCGGCAGGACTGTGGACCCCGCCCCCGGGTGAGCAGGCACTAGCTCCAGCCCGGCCCTCTGCGGGCATCTGGCAGCCACCTGCCTGTTGCAGAGGATCTCGGGCTCTCTCCCAGGTCCCCTGGACCTGCCCACCAGAGGGGCCACACCCCTTTGTTCCCTCATTCACCCCCAAATCCTGGACATTCTCCCCCTTACACATCTCTCACGTCCCCTGTCCCCACCTCACACCTCTGTCCAGGGCCCAGCACCAGCAGCTCTGCCTAGACCAACCCTCTAGAGGCCTCCCCACCCAGGGTAGGAGACCCTGTTTCTACCCTGCAGCTAGGGGGATCTGTCACTTTCCCCACGCTCCATCTGTTTCGGGAACCCGAGCCCCTCACCAGGCCTGATTGTTTCAAGGGATGCTTGGGACCCTCGGCCTTCTCCTGGGCCGGCCCACCGCAGCCGGGTCACATGCTGTTCCCTTGGGCAGGAAGGCTCCTCACCCATCCCACCACCTCACCTCCTGACACCTGCCCATCCCAGATCTGACTTCAAAACTCACTTCACCAGCGAGAAGGATTCCGAGGAGCCTGAGGACGCAGATCGATCATGGCAGCAATGAGATGAAAACATCCCGCCCTGTCCCCATCCTGCAGTGGCCTGTCCTGAGAGGTGGCATGCCCCCGAGGGCAGGGCATGAAAGCCATGCTCATCCCTGCGTGAGTCCCCTGCCTGTGTCATAGAAGGACTAACTCAATATTGTTCGTTGTATGGATGGATGGGTGGAAGGGGAGGGGTATCCAGGTGGAGGGAGTGGCGAGGGTAGATGCACTCGGGGACAAGCGGAGGTGGTCTGAGACCTGAGCACATCGCAGGAGCCCAGATGGAGAGAAGGAAGCCATGGTGGGACGGGATCTGGGGAGAGAATAACTCCTGAGCCCCGCGGGTAATGGGCTGAGACTTCCTTCTGAGAACAACAGGGGGTTGAGGGGGTGTCCTGACCACATTTTGCATGTGGCAGGGGGTGGTGGTGTGAGAGTAAAGCCCAAGGGTGAGGGGGGAGTGGGCAGGAGGTGGGAGTCCCGAGGGGAGGGGCCCACTGGACTGAGCCAGGCTGGTTGCCAGGGAACCAGGCTTCCTCCGGCTACACACACAGCTGGGTGCTGAGTAAGTGGAACCTAAAAATAAAGCCCCCAGTGGGGGCTGGGACCGACAGGGAGTGGCGGTGGGGAACTGCCGGGAACGTGGCAGTGCTCAGGCCGGGCCTTTTGGTACCTCTAGCCCACAGCCCGAATCCCAGGCCGAGCATCCTGGCTGGGGACATGGGAGGCTCAGAGAGAGGAGGAGCCCGCACAGCTGAGGGGTGGAGGGACTCAGCAGCCCAGACCCTTAGGGCCACCTGCCTGGGCTGCAGGGCCCAATTGGCTGGGCACCCGGGATAGTGAGGACACTGGGAGGGTCAGCCTAGCCCAGCAGCCCTGGCACCATCGTCCACCCCACCTCTACATGCAAAGCAGGAAGCTGGGGAACCTGCCCAGGGCCAGGGGCGGGGGGAGGGCTGGGGCTGGGGCCAGAGGAGTTCAGGGCTGGCAGCCAGCCTCCACCGTGTGCCCTGGGGGCCAAGAAAGTGGGGCAAGAGGCTGTGTGATCAAAGGGTCAGGTCCACTCCTCGGAAGCCCCGTGGCTTCTGACAGCTTGGGCCTGGGGGTTCCTGTGCTAGGGGGTGAGTCTCCCCGAAGCCCCCTCCAGCCCTCGGAGGAGAGGGCCAGGCTTGCCCAGAGAGCTGAGGAATGCGGCCGGGGAGCCCACCTTGGCAGGGTGAGCAGGGGGATCCTGGAGCCAGGCGCTTTGTAAATGTCCATTCAGGCCATGGCAGTAACGGGATGTCAAGGGAAAGCCAGCCCTCGGCCACTGTCCCTGAGCTTGACTAAGGACCCCCAGAGCTAGAGGAGGACAGTGGCCAGCCTGAGGTCACAGGTGGAAGAGGCCAGAGGCTGGAACAGGTGGAGGTCTCTCCCTGTAGAACCCTGATCCCCACACGGCCCCTGACTGGCCTTCAGGGCTCACAGAGTCCCTGAGGGGTAATGCTGACCAAAGCTGAAGGGCTGAGAGCCCCACCCTCAGGAAAATCACCCCAAAGCTCTCTAAGCTTAGAAGTCCCCCACCTGCCTTAGTCAGGGGACCTAGAGTCCTGGGGACTGAGGGGTGACCCCACCACCAGGAGCAGAACTGGGATAAAAGCAGAAAGTGGCCACGTGGGTGCCAGGAGGAGAGGGGAGGGTCTCTCCTCTTCACCTCAGGAGCCCTGGTGGCAATGACCAAGCCCACACTCTGGTCACTGTGCCCCGTTTCCCCCAGGTGAGCCGCTGCACCCCAACCCCCATTTGGAGACACAGGGTGCCCAGCATGTGTCCAGCTGCCGGTCAGCACAAGGCCATTCATTTAAGAATGACGATGTCATCTGCCAGCTAGACGGGGGTGGCCAAGGACAGCGTGGTCACACCCCTCCACCCTCACTCAGGCTGACACGGGGCTGGGTCCCCGAGGGAACAGGTAGCAGAGGGGTTGCCTTGGATGTGCTGAGGCGGGGGTGGGAGCAGGTGACACAGGTCACCAAGTCTCCTGGGGGTGAAGCCATGACCAGGTGAGCCCTTGATGCCTCCTAAGTACCTTCTTTGGAGGCCTGGAGAGAGGTGCCCACCCCCTCAGCTCTGAGGTTTCGGAGAGAGGAAGGCGGGAGCCCGTGTGGCCCAGGAGCTGTTGGGCCTGACGCTCGTGGGCCCCAGTCCTGTTCCTTCCCCACGTGGACAGACAGAGGCTGGAGCAGACACTGGGGTCACAGTGCCTTTATTGGTAAGTCGGAATGTGTCAAGGTTGGGACTCAATGGCCACGTGGTGGCACGTCCACGGTCCCCAAGGCAGCAGGTTCCAAGGCACTGGAGCAGCCCATGCTCGGGGCGAGCCCTGAGCAGCGCAGGCACCATTCTCTCCCTGGCAGGGCTGGCACTTGGGGCAGGCCGGGGGGCCAGCCAGGCCTCCAGCAAAGCTGCTGCAGCCCCATCAGCTCCTCTTGTGGGCCCCGGAGGCTTTCTGCCGGTAGATCTCAGCAGTGAAGGGTCTGCAGCAGGGGAGAGGCTGCAGTCAACAGGTCCTGGGGGTGACCCACCGCCTACACGAGAGCTCTGCTTCCACCAGCTCGACGGTGTTCAGCAGGGACCAGAACCCCCTTCATTCCCCAGAGCCAATGGGGCAAACTGGCTTGGAACATTCAGAGAGCAGGAGGGAGGGGAGACCGACTGGCTGCCTCTTGGGTCCCACAGGCCCCACTGTGGCTGCTCTGACCTGGGACCCCTGGAGTGGCCTGGCTGACGACAGCCTGTCCTGAGCCTTCCCTGGCCATGGGGAAAGGTTCTAGAGGGAGAGACAGGGCCGGTCAGGTAGCCAAGCCCCCACCCGCCGCAGCCCCTACTCACTCTTCGTACAGGAGGGCCACCATGTAGGTCAGGGCCACCAGCACCGTCAGCAGCAGGCCTGTGGGGCTGGCGTGCCTGCAAGGATGGAGGCAGGTCAGGCCTGGCTAGAGCCAGGGTCTCCCAGGGCCACCGCCCATCTGCCCAGGCTGGCCCTTCCTGCTGTGACTCAGGTCCTCTGGCCAACGCTGGGGCCACTTGGGCCAACTGAGCCCAGGCAGCGCTGCCCCTTCCTGAGTCTGGCTTTTTTCTTTTTTTTTTTTGAGATCGAGTCTTGCTCAATAGCCAGGCAGTGGAGCCATCTCAGCTCACAGCAACCTCCACCTCCAGGTTCAAGCAATTCTCCTACCTCAGCCTCCCGAGTAGCTGGGATTACAGGCACCCACCACACCTGGTTAAGCTTTTGAATTTTTAGTAGAGACGGAGGCGTTTCACCGTGTTAGCCAGGATGGTCTCAATTTCTTGACCTGGTGATCCACCCGCCTTGGCCTCCCAAAGTGCTGGGATTACAGGCGTGAGCCATGGTGACTGGCCCCAAGTCTGGCTTTTGTGCCAGGACCAGGGTCTCCATGTTGTCTGTCGTGATCCATTTGCCATCGTTGTCTGCCTGTCCGGCCTGGCTGGGTCCCTCCAGGGTGGGATCTGCTCATTCTTTCTGGGTCTCCGGCCCCAGGAAGAAGAGTCCCAGTGGCTAGCACTTCATTCTAGCTCAGAAGGAGGTTCTGGGACAGCAAGTGCTTCCCTGCTCCCAGAAACCATGCTCGGAGGAATGAAGGCTGTTTTCTAGAAATGGGTCCAGGGTCCCCCAAAGCCAGTTTGGCGTAACCAAGGAAGGCACAGCCCCCGGCCCCAGGTGCATCCTATGGCCACGCCCTGGGAGGATCTGGCTGCAGGGGAGCGGCTTAGGCTGCCACCCCACCCAGCCCTGCTTGGGCTCTCCTGGGTGATGGAACAGCAGCCCCACTCAGGGGCCCCTAGTCGCCCCGGCCCAGAGGACGGGAGGCCCCATGCCGAATGTGCAGTACGCCCAAGGCTGGACGGAGCACTGCCGGGGGCTCTCTGCTGGTGACCAGCTCCTGACCCCACCACACCAGTGAGCAGCGGCAGCTCATCAGTGACGGCAGCGCGGAGCCCGGGTGCAGCTGCCTTGGGTTTCCAGAAATAGCTGCCGTCAAGCTGTCCCCCAATCTATTTCTATAGTTACCTCTGATCCCACAGCTCCTGCAGGCACTGGGCTGCTGCCGGGGGAGGAGGGAGGGAGGAAGGAAGGAAGGAAAGGAGGTGCCTTGCTGGCACAGAGGGCACATGGGCAGGCCTGGGCCAGGGGCTGTGCCCTCCTTGGTTATGCCTGTGCCAAGCTGCCCCCTCCCCAGCCAAACCATCAGAAGAGCCCCAGGCAGGGCTGGACCAAGGTGAGGGCTGGAGGACACCTGTGGCCCCTGCAGGGACCCTCTGCCCTGCCCACTGCCGTTCACTCCCGGAACGGCCTGCCTGACTGGGAGCTGCAGGAGGCAGGGCAGACATAAGGACAGCAGAGATCCAAGCCCAGGCTCCAGCTCCAGGCCTGGCATCCAGCAGCGACCCTACTGTGGGTGCCGAGGTGGACAGGAGCCCCCTATTGCACAACATGAAGCAGGAGGCCCCCTTGCCCCTCACGACCCAGCCACCACCTCTGCCATCTGTCCCCTGGCAATGGCTCACTGCCACACCGGTGTGCCGGGGTCCTACATGCCGGGGAGCTCATACACCTGCAGGCCCATCTCTGGGGCCCTGGCAGGTGAGAGACGGACGGGCCGTGGGAGGCCTGCGGGGGTCCCTGCTGGGTCAGCGTCCAGCCAGGTAAGGGTTCATCTCTAATGAGCTCCTGGGCCACTGCTGCCATCCCCTAGCACCCCGTGTGGCTGATGGCCTCGGGAGGTGGCTTGTGCATCCACCAGAGCCCTGGCCTGGCACTCCGGGGTCCTCAAGCCCTTCTGGTCCTGGGGAGCACCTGCAGCATTCTAGGCCAGTGGTTTTCAACTGTTAAATAAAAGCAGTAGAATACGTTCTGCCAAAAAAAAAAAAAAAAAAAACAACCTTCTATGGAAGAAAATGGCTAAACGAGAACTGCCAGGGTGGGGGCGGGGCCTGGGTGGGGGGTGGGGGTGAAGTCCAGGGCAGCTCCCACCGCGCCATCTTTGACCGAAGGCTCTCTGACCGCCCCCGGGAGCACATCCCCTCATCTTGTCAATGCCTGTAGCTGGCTGAGGCCGATGGCGGTTCTAGGCCTCCCTCGGCATGGGGCCCCCTCTGTGGGAAGGGGTATCTATCACATGGGCAGAGGCTATGGGGGCACAGGGAGTTCTGTCAGCTGCGGGTGAGATGGGCTCTGGCGGCTCCGGCCGCCCCCTCCTGGGGTTACTAGCAGATGGCCGCGGTGGTCCCAGCCCTGATGCCCCAGCACAGGGGTCCACAAACCACGGCCTACGGGCCAAGAACGCCTGGTACATTTTTAAACAGTTAAAAGCAAAAAGATCAAAAGAATGTTTCGTGACGCGTGAAAATGAATTGAAATCGAGGCCCCGGTGTCTGTAAGTGGAGCTGGGCTGCCCCCGAGCACGTGAATCCGTGTTCCCGCGTCTGCGGCTGTTCTGCGCGGCAGGAGCTGAGCGGCCGTGACCTGCCTGCGGCCCTGGAGCCTCCGCACTCCAGCCCCCCCGGGGAAGCCGGCCACCCTGTTCTGGCGTGTTCTTTCTGTTACCATAGATAAGACGCTTCTGAGAAAGGGAGACCCAGGGCGCCCTAGGCCCCCGTAAATAATGTTCGTCCCACGCTCTTCCTTTCACTCTCTGCAGGGGCCCCGGCCCCCGAGGCCTCAACAGCGGCCAGCAGGGCAAAGGGGCGACGAGCCAGGTACTCACGGGACAGCCCCGCCCAGGTACTCACAGAACGGCTCCGCCCAGGTACTCACGGGACGGCCCTGCCCAGGTACCCACGGGAAGGCCCCGCCCAGGTACCCACGGGACGGCCCCGCCCAGGTACCCACGGGACGGCCCCGCCCAGGTACTCACAGGAGGGCCCAGCCCAGGTAGTTGGCTGTGCTTCCCCAGTACATGGGGTTGTCCAGGACGCTGAAGGGGAACACAGTCACTCTCGCCTCCTTGAGGATCCCGAAGTAATCACCTGTGGATGAGGCAAGGGAGGGTCCCTGGGCTGTCGACAGCCCCGGCCACGCCATCACTGATGGAGGCCCCAGAGCGGGCTGCGGCGGACCCGCAGGTGAGACAGGGCCCTGCCTTCCAGGAGACTCCACGGCTTCAACAGTGGGCAGTCAGAGGGACCCAACAGGCACGTGGACAGCGGGCGAGGGGCCCGGGGATGAGGGGCTGAGCGCCACCCCCGCCCCACTCCTCTTCTCGCACGCGCTGGCCCAACCACGCTGGCCTTCCTCTTCTCGGCTCCGCACATGCTGGTCCCTCCCTTGAGTGCCTTTCCCTGCTCTCCGTAGACAGCTCCTTTCCTCCCCAGGCCCTTCTCCCTCTGCTCATGTTGCCTCTTTACCTCCCTCCTCCTGTCCTACCTCCTGCTACTCCTCGCTCTGGTGAGTTCCTCGCCCTCTGGGGACCTCAGCTGGTTGCAAAGGGCTGCTCTGCTCCACGCCCCAGGCTATGTGGCTCTGGCACCAGGGCCTGGCCATGGCACGCCTCCCGTCACTCTGGCAGGTCAGCCCTGGTAATACGGTTTTCCCACCCAGCTCAGCTGCCCAGAGGAGCTAGACCCAGTGGAGAGAGGGTGGCTATCGGACAGCCAGTTCCAGACAGGCCAGCCATGCACCCGTCAGCCACACGGCCACAAGGCGTCCCCTGGCAGGGCTGCTCTGAGCCGTAAGGTGGCACTGGGATCACAGTCACAGGCCCACACAGGACAGTCCCACTGGACACAGAGTAACCACTCCATAAAGGGTGCGGCTTCGTCCCTCCCAGCCTGCTGTCCCCAGAAAGCCCTCATTTGTCTCTCCTCCAGGAGGACAATGGAGCTCCATCCGAGGCAGGAAGTAGGGCAGCTGCCCGACAATGGGCAGCACAGGCAGGAGGCTCCAGGAGCTGCGTCACCATCTGGGGACATGGGGCAGGGCCCAGGACCACTGGAAAGTTCTTTCTTCCCGGGAAGCAGGAAGTGGGGCAGCGAGCGGGGTGTGGGTGGATGGCACAGAAACCCAATTCCGGCTGAGTCACAGTGGGAAGTGACCACCTTTGCCTACACCCCACGCCGCTGGCCCCAGGGTTTCTAGGCCACGTCTGCTGGCAGGGCCGCTGGGAGGCTGTGGCCACTGGTGTTTGTGGGCTCCTTCCCTCCCTCTGACTGTCCAGGGCCCCCCAGCTGGTGCTTCCACTGCCGAGGGGCTCTGCCCACCACCCTGGCTCTCCCTACACTGCCTGTAGCCTTCCCTGCCCAGACCCACCGGAGCCCTGGCTGCTCCCTGCCGCTGCTCTCCCACAGAACCTGACTGCACGGCTCGGAGCCGCCTCCCGTGTGGCTCTCTCCGCCCTCCACAGCTCCTCCTGAGCCCCAGCTCTGATGCCAGCTCCATCGGTCCAACCTCTTCCTTGCTGGGACCCCCTCTATGGCTCTCACCTCTCTGGGGATGGAGCCTCAGTCCCTTGCATGGTCTTTGGGGACTCGGCTCACCCTCGAGCCCTGTCCTGACCCACAGCGCCTGTGTGGCCAGTCCAGCTGTCCCCCTCTCTCCCGCCACCCGGCACTCTGCCCTCAACCTCCTTCTCCATGCATCAAGGCCTTTTCCTCTTCCCTACCTGCCCCTGCCTGGCAGATCCAGATGCCCCTGGCTGCCGCCCTCTGCCTGCACCAAACTCTATAGCTCCTGCCTGAGCAGAAAGCACTGAACCGCCTGGAGATGACTCCCACAGTCCCACTGAGGCCTGGCCACGGGCAATCCAGAATGCTGCACCCACAGATGCCACTTCCTCCCTCAGGGGACCCTGCTGCCAGGCGCAGGCTCCTGGAGAGCTTCAGGCGCCTGTGACAGCCCACGATGCCCTCGGGGCTGGGCCCAAGAAGCTACGGCCGGCATCTAGGGATGAGGATGGCAGGCAGGCCCGGGAGCTCCTCAAGCCACCGCCGGTCCCACAAGGCCATGAGGCCACCGAAGCCAAGTGACCTGCCGAGCTCCAGCACAGGCTAGGGCTGATGGAGAGGAAGATGGCCTCCCCACCCCGGCAGACCAGGGGCACCATGGCCAGCTGGGCCAACTTGGGAGGGGCTCCCTTTGGACACGGCTGCCTCCTTCTCTCCTTCCCGCTTCTGAAGGTCCCCTCTTGTCTCCCACCTCTGCCCCCCCCCAGCTTTCCCATGGCTGCTTTTCTTTCCCAGCTTCCGAGGAGCTGGAAGTTGCTGTCATCACGAGGGTCGGTGGGCGTCTGGCCAGGCCAGCAGTGGGCTCACAGCACCTCAGCCACAGGCAGAGGGGAACAGGGACAGGACAAGGTCCCTCCCTCCACCCCTCACTCCTCCCCAGACCTACGCCAGCCCTGCATGCTGCCAAAGACGGCACAAACCGCAATCCTGCCTGACCTGAGAGCCACGCGTGCCGGGAGCTGCCCAAGGCAGAGCCGGAGATGCCGGCGGTGGCCAACTCACCACCACCACCTTAGCCTTCTGTGCCACGGGGCCCGAGGGCCTTCGGCAAGGGGAAGCTGGGGCTGGAGTTGGACTCAAGGAGTCCGGCACCCGCCCGGGCCGCGGAATGGGCATTTAGTGCATCCACATTAGCTGGAGAGAAGAGCAGGAGCTGTCTTGACTCCCAGCAGGCAGCCACTGAGCACCCTGGGCTAAGAGGAGCTGCTGGAAGCCAACCTCCCGTGCTAACCACGGAGGAAGGAGGCTGCCCCGATGGAGCGGGCTCCCCAGTATTCCCACCGATGTCACGGACAGCAGGGTGGCAGCCACCTGACCCTGCTCCTCCCTGGGACTCCAGCGGGCCTGCTCAGGGTCACCCCAGCCTCTTACCTAGGAAGGTTCCAGTGAACCCCAGTGCAAAGGAGCTGGAGAGCACGAGCACAATGCCCACTCCCAGGAGTGTGAGGCCCAGGCAGCGGGCCGCGGGCGCGTCCAGGCTCTCCATCTTGGGCTGGCTCAGCATGGCCTGTGTGAAGCTGCAGGCAGGGGACGGAGAGGGAGGATGTCAGGCCAGGGACGATGTCACGGCCTAGGAAGAGGCCGACCTCACCTTCTCACGCCCTCCCCAGGGACCCTCAGAGAGTAGCCAGCCCGGGACTGCCAGGCCAGGCAGGCACCGGAGTGAGTGGAGCAGACAGCAGGTGGGGCCTGGTCCACCTGGGAAGGAGGTGACAGGAACAGGGAGGGACCCAGGACTGCCAGATTTTTTTTTTTTTTTTTTTTTTTTTTCAAGAGAAGCCAGAAATCCTGACTCGTATGTGAAATATCCTAATTTTTAGAAACAGACAATTCATGAACTCCACTTCGGACCTGCATGTGAGCAGGCTGGGTGCGGCCCAGAGGCCGCCAGCTGCCAACACTCATCCTGCCCCATGAGCAGCTCACACCATGGAGGAAAGTGAGGCTGAGAAAGACGCAGGTGCCAGGTTGCAGGGCAGCCCTAAGTGTCCCATTCCCCAACAGACTCAGTGCCCCGAGGCCTGGAGCGTGCTCTGTGCTGTGTATTCAGCTTCCACAGCCCCTGCAGGGCTGGCCACATCCTGGGTGGGTTGACTTGCATTTAGAGGCACGTTGGGGGCCATTGATATCCTCCTCCACACCGGAACTCCCCCACTAGGCTTCCTTTGAGGCCAAAACACCGAAGGCCTTGTTAAAAGGTAGTAGGGGGCCGGGCGCGGTGGCTCAAGCCTGTAATCCCAGCACTTTGGGAGGCCAAGGCGGGTGGATCACGAGGTCGAGAGATCGAGACCATCCTGGTCAACATGGTGAAACCCCGTCTCTACTAAAGATAAAAAAATTAGCTGGGCATGGTGGCACGTGCCTGTAATCCCAGCTACTCAGAAGGCTGAGGCAGGAGAATTGCCTGAACCCAGGAGGCGGAGGTTGCGGTGAGCCGAGATCGCGCCATTGCACTCCAGCCTGGGTAACAAGAGCGAAACTCCGTCTCAAAAAAAAAAAAAAGGTAGTGGGGGCCAGGTGCAGTGGCTCACACCTGTAATCCCAACACTTTGGGAGGCCAAGGTGGGCAGATCACTTGAGGTCAGGAGTTTGAGACCAGCCTGGCCAACATGGTGAAACCCCATCTCTACTAAAAATACAAAAATTAGCTGGGCCTGATGGCGGGTGCCTGGAATCCCAGCTACTCAGGAGGCTGGGGCAGGAGAATCGCTTGAACCCGGGAGGCAGAGGTTGCGGTGAGCCAAGATCACACCACTGCACTCCAGCTTGGGCAATAGAGTGGGACTCAGACTCAAAGGAAAAAAACGCAGTGGGATAACCAACAGGGAGTGACTATGATAGCAGTGGGTCTGGAGGCTCAGGCCTCCAGGGTGCAGGCAGGGCACAGCGCACAGGGGCTGGGCACGTGGTGATGCACCAGGCCTTCAGTCCACTGGCGCCAACTGGAAGACCGGAGCCTCTAGACCGGCTGCTATCCTAGTCATCCCCATTCGGTCATCACAAGGGAGCAGGTACTGGTGGGAAGGGAGCCGGTGCCAGAGGAGAGGCACTTTCACAGGAAAGGGTGTGTGTGGGAGCACAGATACGTGTGAGCCAATGTGCACTTCCCATGCTCGCCATAATCACAACACAGAAGAGACATGGAGCTCTGCTGCCTCATGCAGGGCAATGCCTGACACCCAGCCTGCAGACAGCATCTCACAACAGGGGCAGCTCACCATCCACCCACCCGCCCATGCTTCCATCCATCAGTCTATCCTCTGTGCACCCGCACATCCATCCTTCTGTCCATCTATCCATCCATCAGTGAATGGAACCATCTGTCCATCCTCCACGAAGCATCTTTGTTTGCCAGGCTTTTAAGCAGATCAAATTCCCATCTTTATCCACTCATTCCATCCATTGGTAAATTCAGATTGTTGTGAAACTCCTTATGCTGAGCTAAGGACATCCAGACAAGTCCTTATGCTTCCAAGTTTCCCTGGAACTCCTTCCTCCAGCTAGACCGGGAGCTCTTGGGGAACAGAAGCTGCCCCTCCTTCCCTGAGTACCCCACCCCGCACCCCAGCACATATTCATCCACCGGAGAGAAGCAGCAGCTGCTCCTTCCTTCCCCCATCCGCCAGAGCAGAGAAGGAGCCAGGGAGAAAGAGAGAAAGGTCTGTGGACAAAGCCACCAGGACCCAGCAGCAGAGGCAGGCACACTGACCTGTCAAACAGCAGCATCTGGGTGTCAGGGCATGCTGCCCACACCCCCAGCTCTCCACCCACCCTCGCCCTGCCCCGATCCTGCTGCTGCCAGGGCTCAGGGTCACCCTGCAGCTCCAGGCCGAGCCTCTGGGATTGGCTCAGGGTCACGGGCTGCCATGGAGTCAGATGGCCACATGCACACCCAGTGTGGTGCCACGAGCCAGGCACACCTCCCCTGCCTGGCACCCTCCACTCTCCTGCCTGCAGACGGTGAGTGGGAGGGAAAGGAAGGGTCCCGGCTCTGCTCAGGAGCATGGTTCCTCTGCAGGCATCTGGCTCCTTGGCTGCCACTGCAGTGGGGACCAGAAAACAGACAGGGGAGAGCATTCCAGAAAGAGGAAACAGCAGGTCGGCATGCCTTAGAGTCTGGGGCAGGGCATGGAGCAGGGAAGGCTTGAAGGAGCCTGCCAGATGCAGGCCTCAGCCCGGCAGGGTTGGGAATACACTCTACCCGCTGTGGAAAATCCAGAACCAGGGAGACCCATCAGTGCTCTGCAATAGCGGGTGGGCGCTGAGGCCGGGCCCGAGGATGCTGGAGGGTCACTCTGGAGGGAGACTCTGTCGCTCTTACCCTCTCCTGCGGAGACCTAAGCCAGGGTCTGGGTCCATGCCCCATGCTCAGGATTCCTCTGCCAGAATTCGTCTGCATCACACAAGCAGGCAGCAGATAAAAGGGAACTTCCTCCCTCTGGTGGGGTCCAGCCTGAAGCCCAATGCATTCAGGGCCCAGGTTCCCGGGGGGGGGCATGGCTCAGTAGGAAAATCAGATCTGTTTGGAAGCAGAATCCTGATGAAGGGCAGATCTGGGGCCAGGGAGCAGGTGGGAGAGGCCCCAGATCAGCCCCAGACCTGACGCCCACCCCCCTGAGCTGCTCCCCCGCCTGGGCCCCCAGTCCTGGTGCCTTTCCTTTTCCTCTCTGAGATGACAGCCTGGGCTGGCTCCCAGCACAGTGCTCTGTGGGTCATTCACTCAGTCAGCAGAGGAACTGGGCTGGGCTGCCTGCCTGCCATCCTCATCAGGTGGCTCCTTTTACCCAAATACACTCATTCCAGATTGCAGATTCCAGGCTTACTGGAATTGCACGACCCCAATTAGGCGATCAACACTGTTCTAGCTCTTTCATTAAGCCAGGAAAGCACAGTCCGTCCATTCCACAGGGAAAATTAGTGGATGGATGAGTAGCTCTGTGACCACAAGCTCCCTAACAGAATGAGGTAACAGGACGCAATTTCCCTTGGAAGTATTCCACACTGGGGGAGGGGGAGGGCGATTCATTCACTTGCCTTGGGTTCTATTTTTAAGACCTGGATTGAATCTTCGGTCATTAATGTGATTTGAGGCTGTCTGCACTCTGCTCCCATAAAATCCCGGAAACCCTGGGGTGGGGAGGGGGCATCGCTGCCCTCAGTGTCCCCACTCTGCCCCCAGCCGGCAGTCCCAGGCCACACACTAGGCCACAGGCCACAGGCACAGGGCCCCGCCCGGCACAGGCCTGTCCCGTTTCTATCTGCTGTAGACCAGAAACACTTCCCTGATTCTGGACATTCTGGGGCACCTCCCCAACACTATCCATATCTGAGTGTGGCCTGAGTGCCAGGTACTCCACATCCTTCACTCCAGGCTTGGAGTGACTTGCTGTTTCCACTCCGTCTCAGCTAAACCAGGCTAGCCATGAAATGAGTTGTCTGATGGGCTCATTTCTTTTCCAAGGCGTATTAAAATAAGCAGGTAACGACTAAAACAAAAAATGTTCATCTATGCAACCCCCGAAATCATCAAGGGACTGGAATTTAGGGCTTTGACGCTGCACTAATTCTGAGCATTTGAATCACACGTCACCTTTCCAAAGTGTTTCCAAAACCCATCAATAGCTGAGGGATAGTCTGTCTTGGTTTACAAACAGGGAAACAGATGGTAGGCTCTCCTGCCTCATCACGACCTGTCAACAGTGGGGCAGGCTCAAGCCCCAAGGGCAGGCCAAGGCCAGCACTGTCTCCCAGGGCCCCTCGCACCTGGGAATCCTGGCTGACACCCACCCTCCTCCCAGACCTCCTGGCAGTGTGTGCTTTGGGGATGGGTAAGGTGCCTCTCCCTGCCTTTCCAGCTGCGGCCCCTCAGCCGCCGGCCCGGCCCGCTCTACCAGTGCCTGCAACCCACTCTTTCAGCCCCTCTCTCTCCTCCCTTCACAGCAGCTGGGCCCCCTTATGCCCAGGAAAGCCTATACTGGGTTCCCTGTCCTAACTGCACCCTGACACCCGGCCCCTACACCCTGTCTTACTGTCCCGTTGCCAGAATGGACCCCGCCCCCACCGCTGCCCCAGGCACCTGCTCTGAGGGAATCACTCTGGTGAGGGGATTTCGCAAATGGAATTCAGGTCCTAATCAGTTGGGCTTGAATTAATCAAAAGGGAGGTGACCCAGGGTAGGCCTTTCCCAGAGGGTCTAGAAGCCAGAGAGACCTGAAGCCGAAGCCGTGGAGCTGCCTGCTGAGCTTTGGGGAGGCCGCCAGGAGCTGCGCCTCAAAGACCTGCGTCCTGCCTGAGACCCGAAAGCATGGAGGACCCGGCCCCTCGGGTGAGCTCACACCTGGCAGGCGCCTGGATTCCAGCCTGGGGAGTCCCTGAGCAAAGACGCCTCCCCCATCCAGCCTCCTGGCCATGGAAACTGTCATGTAATAAGTTTGGGTAGTTTGAGCCGCTAAGTTTGTGGGAATTTGTCACACAGCAGAAGGAAACTAATACGCTTTGCTTCCCAGTCCGCAGACTCTTTAAAATTTTGCTCTTTAAAAAAGCAAACTGTCCCATCGGCTCCATGCCCTCCCTCCTTCATGCCGTCACTCAACCTGGAGCAGGTCTGGCCAGGCACTGGGATGCAGCAGGGACCAGGACATGTGGCCACCGGGATGGAGGGCCACGTGTGCCAGCCTCCTCCAGGGCCACAGTGCCCGAGAGCCTGGCCTCGGAACCATCAGGGAGTTTTTGAAAACAGACTTCCTTGAGGAGATGGGCTCTGGGGTAAGTCCGGCATCCCACGGGGTCGCACCTGCCCCATGGCCTTTAGTGCACAGAGCACTGAGGTGTGTCCCCACCTGCCCTGCCACTGCTGCCCAGCCTGTAGTGGGGGCCGCCCTCTCCGGGGACTCACAGGCCCCACCCAGCCACCTGAAGAGCTGACTCACTCCTCCAGACCTCAGTCACAATGCTTCTTCAGCCAGGACCCTGCCTATACCCCACCCACCCAGACCACCTTCCAGGGACCACCCTGCCCTTCCAGGTGCCTCCTAGCCCAGCCTGGGAGCACTGCCAAGTTGACGAAGATTTCTGATTGATGGCCGCACTCCGAGGCCAGGAGGCAGCTTCTCAGCCTGGCTGTGCCTGTCACACGGGAGTGGAGGGAAAGCTGGGAGCCACCATCTGTAAGGAACTGACTTCCTCCAACTACCCCAGGAGGACACCCAGGGCCTGGGTTCCCAGAATAAACCAGACAGTGCTTTGCTGCTGTCTACACACCTGGAGCTGGGCTGCGGGTGGGCCTGTCCCCTGGTCTCCTAGATACACACAGCACCGGGCTGGGCCCTGGAGGAGGAAGGATGGCCCCTGCCACCACCCTCTACTCTCTGCCTTGAAAAGGGGTAGATGACAGGGGTGGACCCCCAGGGTCAGGTAGATCACAGGCTGGGCTGCTGGACCAGCAGGGAGGTGATGGGAAGCGCTCAAGGAAGCCTCAGGGGTTTCTAGTGCAAGATGGGATTTGGCAGGAAGTGAGAACTCAGCAAAGGCTCAGAGCAACTCCCAGGGGCACAGCTGGCAGGAGGGGCTTGGTCGAGGCAGCTGCCTTATGGCACTGGCCAGTATTTCTGGGCAGTCACCTGGCCGGGCCTAGCTGTCCCTGGAGCTGTGAGGGCTGTGGGCTCCATCCCACTCCTCCTGCTTTGTGCGGCCCTGATGGTGGCCCCAGTATGCTCTGGGGAGTGGGGGTGGGGGTGGAACAGCTCATCGTGCCAGCCCTGGGCTGAGTCTCAACCCTCTCCAGCCCTCTGCCTGTCCTCAGCCTCGCTGTTCCTGTGGGGGGCTCCGAGCTCCAAGCAGTTCAGTCCACCAGCACCAGCCCCCGCCCTCCCAGCTGGCAGGGAGTGCAGATGCCTGGAGTCTGGAAGGCGCAGGCCCCCATAGCCCCATCCCAGGTAAGGAGGGACACTCTGCCAGTGGCCCAAGAGAGAGCAGGGGTGAGAGAGAGGCCCATCTCCCGTCCCCTGACATCCCACGCGCATGAACCCAGCCTGGGTGGTGCCAGTGCCTGACAGGTTCCTCTGGCATAAATGAATGGAGGTCTTTTCTCCCCAAGCCATCACAGAGCTGGAGGCTGCCTGTTCTCCCACCCTTGCCTGTCTGGGCTCCCTGAGCTGTAAAGCCTCAGGCCGACCATCGCTTCTTGCCAAGCCTCGCTTCCTCCATCTGCACAATGGGACTCTTCTCTACCCAGAGTCTACAAATAGGAACATACTCCCCGGGGCCGGAGAGCTGAGGAGCTTATCAGCTCGCAGGCTATGCAGACCCACAGCCCTGAGGTGGGAACACGGGCCAAGCCCCTTACCCTCCGAGGGGTGAAAAGGCCTCTCTGGGGAAGCCTCTTCACATCATTCAACCCAGGGCAGGTGCTAGGGGACCCACCCCTCTGAGGACCACAACCCTGGGATACCCATCCAGGCCTACAGACAAAGGGCCAAGAAGCAAAGGCCGGGAGCCAGGGGTCCATGGCGGACGGCTGAGCTCAGTAGGACCCTGACCATGCTGCTCATCCACAGGAAGGCCAAGCCCACGATGATGATGGGAAGGCAGCAAGGGTGCCTGGCCACGGAGGGGGAAGGCCTGGGCCCCCTCGGTGAGTGTGCAAGGGGCCTGGCCACCAGCTAGGTCTGCCCAGCTCCACACGTGCCGGCATGGAGCATCTGCTGGCCCCTTCCTGTGTGCACCCAGTGCCTGCAGGCCAGGCTGGTCCGGGGGAGATGGGGCCAAGGGCAGCGGGGGAGCACGGCTGCACGTGCCCCGTCCAAAGGAGCGGAGCTGTGCCTCGGCCCCAGTGAGTGCTCCACGTGGCGTGTGGCCAGTCACACACAGGGTTTCTGGTCTGTCCCAACAAGTCAAAACTGGTGCAGTTAGTTTCTCATTTTTTCAGGAACCATGTGGTCCACATTTAGTCCACGAGTGGCCATGTGCAATGATTCTCAGAGCACTGTGGGAGGTGAGACCGGGGCCCAGAGATGAGGCCAGCTGCCTGGCACAGCCCGCCTCCCCAGGTCGCCTGCGGCCATCGCATTCCACGCAGGAGGGCCACGTCCAGCCTGGTGTCTGGGCAGGCAAATTTCCTCCCAAGTGCAGTGGGCTGTGCCTCATCAGCTACTTCCAGTTCCTCTGTTCTGACCGCTTCATTTGACGGCAGGAAGGTGCTTGCCCCAAGTCCAGAGATGGGCAAAGAGATGGAGTTTCGCCCTGTCGCCCATCCTGGAGTGCAGTGGTGCAATCTCAGCTCACTGCAACCTCCGCTTGCCGGGTTCAAGTAATTCTCCTGCCTCAGCCTCCCAGGTAGCTGGGAATACAGGCATGCACCACCATGCCCATCTAATTTTTGTATTTTTAGTACAGACAGGGTTTCACCATGTTGGCCAGGGTGGTCTCCAACTTCCGATCTCAGGTGATCCGCCCACCTCAGCCTCCCAAAGTGCTAGGATTACAGGTGTAAGCCACCGAGCCCAGCCTCAAAGAAGCTTTCAAGCCTAACCTGTAGAGACGGTCAGGCCTGACCCCCGAGGGCTGCCAACCCGGCATCTGCCTTCTGACCGGGCGCTTCCTGTAGGGGACTCCTAAAACAGCTTTGGCTGCACAGCAGAGGTTGGGATGTGACGTTGGGACCATCCAGGCATTGTCCCTTGTCCCCCATCACATCCCCCTGTTCCTGAGGTCACTGGAGCTCCTCGGCTGGCTGGAGTCTAAATGGCCGGGAGCGGTAAGGTGGCTCGCTGTACCAGGTGGCTTTGAGAGCTGACCCCTGCATGCTCAGACTCAAGGCTCCTGCATGGTGAGGGACAAGGGACCACCAGCAACGGCCCTTCCGCTAGCCCAGGGGTTGGGCTCCCCAGGGAAAGGGCTGTGCTTACCAGTGTGAGCGCAGGACGTTCAGGAGCAGGATGGTGATGCTCAGGGAGTAGCAGGCCAGGTAGGGGGACCCGAAGGCCCTGCTTAGCTTGCGGGTCTTGTGTTCCCATCGTGCAACCTAAACCGTGGGCAGAGAACAAGAGAGAGATGTTTGCTGGGGAGACTCCAGGGCAGGGGTGGGGAACGCATGCCTCTCTCTGCTTCCCAGGCTCCAAAGCCCCTATTCCTGAGGAAGGAGAATTACACAGAAGCAACCACCACGTGCACCTCAGCCTCGAATGATCTGCCCTAGAGCGAGTTCCAGAGGGATTTTCATATTTGCTCAGTTCATCTGGACACACAACAAGGTCCTTCTGGAAACCACCATTCAACCAGACACAGCCATGAACCCACCAAGAGGCAGAAAGAGATGTCTGGCTGAGAAGACCTATCCCTGGGCAGTCACATGGGCTCTGATGTCAGGCCCTGCCTGGAGCTGCCCAGTGCATCCTACAGTGGCCCCAGCAGAACTGCCAGAGGCGCCCAGGACTGCAGGCCTTCACAAGCACAGGCCCAGATTCCTGCTGGGACCTCACAAAGTGTCCATCACGGGGACAAAGCGAAGAAAAGAAAACTCCTCACCCTCCTCCCTCTGCCCGAGTGCTCCTCCCAAGGCACAGACTTTCCAACAGTGACTTTTAGCCTCAGAATCCTTTTACTTTGTTTTTTCAAACTAATCACATCTGGAATCTCAACATCTGGCCATCAACAGTGGAGAGAAGGGAGCTCTTCCTGCCTCTCTGCTGGCTCCACAGTCCGGAGCTGGTCACTGCCAGGGCCTGGCCCAGGACACTGAGGACTGAGCAGAAAGAAGGGAGGGTAGGGCAAGGAGGATGCAAAAGACAGGCGAGCAGCCTGGAGTCGGGGGCGGGGCTCTAGTCACGTGAGCAAGCTGCCTTCGGGCCCAGAACAGGCGCCGGTGTGCACAGGAAGGGTCTCAGAGGCCTGCTCCCAGGGGAGATGCCATGCGCCACCTGTCTCCACCCCAGCCCCAGCCATGACTGCTGCCTGCTCCACTTCCCAAAGGGACCTGCCTTTCCTGGCAGTTGCAGCAGGAGAGTGATTGGCGATCATTTGCCCCAAGGCCACTGACTCCCAGGAGGTGGCTCCCCAGTGAGTCCTCTGGCCAGTCCTGGGCCCTGTCCTCAGAGCTCCTTGGCAGTGGCAGGCTGGGCGAGGGGGGCGGGGATGGGGAGACGGCAAACTTTACAGGAAGGAGAGGTGAGGTACCAGGTAGCTCCTGGGCTGTCCCCTCAATCAGCTGTTGGCACTGCTACGAATTCTCCCAGAAGGTAAGCAGGCCCTAGTCCAGCTCTCAGCAGGTGGCCACTGCTGACTTCCGGAAGCTCAAAGGGAAGGAGAAATGAGCGCTGCAGGGGAGGGTGCGGTGGGGCTACAGTGACCTTGCCGGGAATGCGTGGGGTGGGGGTGGGGGCAGAAGAAAAGCAGCCTACAGAGAGCACCACGGGCCCAGGCCCACCGCCTGCTTTGTTTGTTTTGTTTCCTTCCAGTTTCGAGATAAAACTCAAGGTAGTTTCTAGCTGGGCAACCATCACCAGCACATTTCACCACCGCAGTAGAAGCCCCGCCCCCATCGGCAGCCCCTCCCCGTTCCTGTCGGCCGGCCCCTGGCGACCACTCACCGCTGTCTCTATGGATTCGCCTGTTCTGGACATTTCATATAAACGGAAGCACACGGTACATGCTCTTTTGTGTCTGGCTGCTTTGACTTGGTGTAAGGTTCTCGAGGTTCGTCCATGCCACAGCGCCTAATTCCCTCTTACGGCTGAATGCGACTCCAGTACATAAAGATTTTGTCCCCTGATCAGCAGCTGCTGGACACCTGCGCTGCTTTAGCAGCACTGTCCGCAGTGGCCACAGGCAAAGGCAAGCAGCACTCGGCACTTGCAAGGAACACTCGTGCCCAAGTGTTTTGTGGACGCGCGTTTCCACTGCTCTTCGGTATACACCTAGGAGTGGAATTGCTGGGTCATAGGGTAAACTATTTTCATTTATTGAAGAGCTGCAAAACTGTTTTACACAGTGGCTGCCCCATTTTCCAGCCCCACTAGCAACGCATGAAGATTCCAGTTTCTCCACATCCTCCCCAACGCCAGTTACCTTCTGACAGTTACAGCCTTCAGGGTGGGGGACACAGGGCGCGGGGGCTCACACCTATAATCCCAGCACTTTGGGAGCATGAGCTCAGGAGCTCAACACCAGCCTGTGAGATATAGTTGAGACCCTGTGTCTCTAAAAAAAAATTAAATTAGCCAGAGGATTGCCTGAGCTCACAACGTCGAGGCTGCAGTGAGCCAAGATCGGGCACCACTGAACCCCAGCCTGGAAGACAGAGAAAGACCCTATCTCAAAAAAAAAAAAAAAAAAAAAAATTGTAGTCAGGTGGCTTTGGTTTGCATTTCCCTAATGATAAATACCTGCCCAATGAGGTGGCTCTCACCTGTAATCCCAACACTTTGGGAGGCCGAGGCGGGTGGATCACCTGAGGTCAGAAGATAGAGACCAGCCTGGTCAACATGGTGAAACACCGTCTCTACTAAAAATGCAAAAATTAGCCAGGCGTGGTGTGGGAGGCTGTAGTCCCAGCTACTCAAGAGGCTGAGGCAGAAGAATCGCTTGAACCTGGGAGGCGGAGGTTGCAGTGAGCTGAGATCTGCCACTGCACTCCAACCTGACAGAGCTAGACTCTGTCTAAAAAAAAAAAAAAAAAATATATATATATATATATATATATATATATATATATATATACTTTTCCTTCAAGGGCTCTCTCAGGAACACTCTGCCATCCTCAGCCTCCCACAACACTCCCCACCCCCGCCCCGTTCCCCCGACAACAGAGCCAGGCCACACTTGTCCCTTAGCCTCAGAAAGGGCCAGTGCTACACGAGCTTTCAGAGCAATCTAACAATAACAGAAAAGCTTCGGGCAAGACCAGCCCATGTGGGAAAGAAAAAGAGGGAAGGAAGCCCGCCGTGGCTGGTATTGGATGGGGTTGCTATTCCGAGGCAGTGGACAAACCAGCAGCCAGCGGGACTCCCAGAACTTCCCTCCCTGACTGGCAGCACCCACCGTGCCCTCTCTGGGAGCCCTGCTGCTGGTTTCATCCAACAATGAGCGGGGGCCAGGACACAGTGGCCTCCCAGGCCCATGGTAGATGGTGGAGTGGCCCGGCGCTCTGCTGTCACTGCTCCTGGTTTTTGTCTGTCTTCTAGATTTCCAGAATCCTAAAGCGGGGATTCATTTGCCCAACCCTCCGCACCCCTTACCCAAATTCTCTCTCCCCGGGGCTGCCAGGATCCTCCAGGTAAATGTAAGCTTCAGATAAACAACAAACTGGCTGGGCACACTGGCTCATGCCTGTAATCCAGCACTCTGGGAGGCCGATCATGAGGTCAGTAGTTCGAGACCAGCCTGGGCAACATGGTGAAACCCCATCTCTACTAAAAATACAAAAATCAGGCCAGGTGTGGTGGCTCACGCCTGTAATCCAAGCACTTTGGAGGCCAAGGCGGGTGGATCGCCTGGGGTGAGGAGTTCAAGACCAGCCTGACCAATATAGTAAAACCCCATCTTAAAAAAAAAAAATATATATATATATATATATATATATATATAGCAAAAATCAGCTGGGCATGGTGGCACGTGCCTATAGTCCCAGCTGCTAGGGAGGCTGTGGCAGGAGAATCCCTTGAATCTGGAGGCAGAGGTTGCAGTTAGCTGAGATCTCACCATTGCACTCCAGCCTGGGCGACAGCAAGACTCCATATCAAAAAACCAATGAACAAACAAAACAACCATGTTTTGGTGTAAGTTGTCCCACGAGACTGCTTTTCATCCTAAAACAGTCATGTGCTGTTGACCTGGAACCCTAATATGCACCCAGGCCCTGGGTGTGTGTTTGCTCCACCCAGCAGCCCAGCCTCTCCCACACCCTGGCAAGGAGTCCCCAGCTCTGCTCTGGAACACACAGATCTCCTTCCCAAATGCCGACTCCTTTTTCTTTTTTTTTTGCAAATCTCACCCACAGCCTCTACCTTAGGGCAGAAGAGACAGGCCCAAGGCAAGTGGAGCGGGAGGAAAACAGGGGTGGGGTTGAGGCCCAGGGACACCATCCTGGCCTTGACGCTCACCAACAGCCAACGGCACTTCACAGGCAAATCACTCAGCTGCCCGGTACATCAACTGAGTCAGCTGCAAAGTACGGAAAACGGGATGTACAGTACCCCCCACCCGATCCCCCTGCCAGTGTGGTGGGAGAGGCAGAGCAGGCGAGGGGTGAAAGGCTTCCGGCCCTGGCATGTGGCCCAGGGCACGTGAGAACTCCCATCTCTCCCTCCGTCCGCAGCTCAGAGCAGGGACTACATCTGATTTCCTTCTGGGTCCCACTCAGTGGGAATCGCCTCTGCCCATGCCCATGGTACCCATCCAGCCTGAGGTGGCAGTTCCACCCTCTATCTCCATGCCAGGACCCAGGCTTCATCCCTGCCCTTTCCTGGGCTCTATTCTTGGCATCCTTAGACTCAGAGGTTGTAGCTGGCAACCCAAGATGTGTTCTGGTCAAATTCACAGCATGTTTAAACTATTTGGATCGACAATGAAACACTCGGCGTTTTTCACATGAAAGCCAAGCCTTCCACTTGTGGTGAAAAGTCTTGAAAATGAGCACAGCCTCCATCCTGCAAGGCCCCCACCAGCCCAGCTATGCAGTGAGCGTCCAAGAAGCGGGACTCCCTTCTGGGGACAAGACCCTTTTCTGGAGACTTCCTATTTTCCTCTCAAATTTCCTACGTATCCTTGAAGTGAGACTGCAGAGGGCAGAGTTTTTAAATCCCCTTTTGAAGTGAGACAAGGCTCCTTCCAATTCACTGAAGGACTGATGGGCGAGTGTCCCCCCGAGCCCAGCAGAGCAGCTCGCTGCTCCCAGAGCCGGGGTCTGCGCTCAAGCACCAGCTCCTCAGCTTGCCCCTGGGGCAGGTGATTTCCCCTCTCTGTTTCCCGATCTGTAAAATGGAGCTAATAATACTCTCTACTGCCTCACAGAGTTGCTGTGCGAAT